GGGTTGATTTTGGGAGCTAAAGATCGTTTGGTGGTTTCTTTCTGCACGAAACGTGAAAAATTCTATTGCATAAGTGACAACATTTCTGCTTTATTGGGAGTTTAAGACGATATTGGTAAAATTGGTGCTTCAACTTTACTGGCATGTAGCTTCTATGGTTCTCCATGCAAAGAACATCATCTTCCGCTAAAATAAAATAAAGCAAATCCAATAATTCACCCCTGCTAATCATAATCCTTAAACAGTAAGTTATACATGCTAGTTCTAGCATGATCTTTCTCCTGCAGACAGAATTTTCTTCTCTCAGGGTCACTTTACATAATCATTTGACCATTATTTTGATATGTATTTTACTGAAAATGCTAATTTGTGCAATGTGTTAGATTTTGTGATAAAAATACCAAATATTTGAAAGAGGTGATGAAAATTTAAGTGTCAAAGAATGTTGTGCCAAAAACACGACATTGCATGTAAACATTTTTTCAACAACTCAATCTACGCTGTAATGTTATTAGCATTAAATTGGGCCTAATCTCTCATCAAGGCTTTCTCTAAACAGTCATCTATAATTCATCAATCTTCTTTGCCTTTTAGTTAAAAATACACATTTTACTTCTTAAACAAACGCTTATGATTTGTAGGTCATACACCGTTCACCTCATGCCCCAAAAAGCACGGCTGCCATAATGAACAAATTTCATTTGGAGACTTTTAAGCCACTGAAATCTGAACGATAACTCTTGATAAAGTAGGTCCATGTTCGTTTTAAAACTTGTAAACAACAGTTTAGATATTAGTAGTATTGAATGTTTATTGAATATATTAGCAATTTGAAACGCTATTTATTAACACGAGAACTTTCTTGAAACTTTCTTAAATGTTGGAACTTCAATTTATGTCCATATCAAAGTTGATAAAAAATTGAAGTATGCAAGTCGATATGTCAATATATAGGAGGTACTCACACATAGTTGACTTTCTGAAGACAGTCCTTATTTCAATAAATGAGAGTATGGAAACTCCTGGAATTGCAGTTAATGACAACCACTCTCGCCAAAACCAGTCTACCTTGCAAGATTCTGCTCAGTTTTAGTAAACATGACTTTTGACAAAACATGTGGCTTTGGACAGCCCACATCCACAAGATTCGTTAATAACATCAACATTCAAAGTTAAATTTGCACGTGATAGGGTCGAGAATCCTGCTACGTACAGTTAGTCTAATTCCATCGAGAAACGAGCAGTCCCTTGATTTTCTATCACTTGCTAAATTATTTAAGACAATAGAAGACAACAGAAAAAACCTGAAGCTTGAATTCTTGCTAATAAACGGTGTTATTTCCTTTGTGGTGTCAGTATGGGTCTTTTGAAGTCTTGTCTCACAGGTAAATTCAACCCAGCTATCGATGAATGCACCATTCTTGCAGCCAGTGGCGTAACGCAGTATAGGCCACCTAAGTTCAAGTAATAAAGCCCCCCGACCAAAGGGGGCCCTCAACAGCTTTTTGTATCGTGTGCATTTGAGCCAACTAGACTCTTCTGCTTCCTTTATTTTAAACCTTATATTTTGCCTCAAAACTTTATTTCCAAAACGTAATTGCTAAAATATCAATTTAAAATCGTTTTGAATAATGGTCAGTGCAAAAACGTCAACATATTTGATCGAAAACTGTAAGCTAGGAAATAAGTAATATCCAAGTGTGGATCATTCTTCTCAGATGTCATGTAATTCCATTCCAAAGATTAATAGTTTGTTATGCAAAATTGTACTTTGAAACCAATTTGTTAAGAATCCAGATTTACTATTGGTTTTTTCTATTCAAAGATTATCTTTTTCACCAAACGTGCATTTCTCGAGGTTTTAAAAAAGCGCCCTCTTCGATTAAGCGCCTCCCTGGAGCCTCAAAAACTAAATAAGCGTCCGGACGCTTATTCGAGGCATTGCGGTATTGCAAATTAGACAACGATAATCGGCTTAACAGGTCAAGCGATTTTCAGACCTCAACTTAAAGCTTTGATAAAGAAATTATGGAAACCTTCGTTTACATGGGATTTCTTCAATTTTCAAGATTTCTGTTAGTTTCAATTTTGGCATCATTGTGTGCCTTGAAAGTTCAGCTAGTTAGATGTGAAATAATCGAAAAATGTATGTTTTCATCCAGAAGACGTTTACCGTAACCTTAACGACTTTTTTGCTAAAAGTATCGTCGTCTTGGAAAATGCTTTGGGAAATTGAAATTACATCCAAGCGTTCACAGCTTATGTAAGGAAGTATTTACAGTTTGCCATTATGTGACAAGCACGGTTCTGTACAATCAGCATTGTAAATTGCATGCTGGTACGAGAAACAGGTACGCCTAAGCATTAGCATTTACACTCCTTATTTTATAAGAAACAGGTTATAAGAAACGGTAGGCTCAATTTTTCGAAAGTTAAGAAATAACCCTACCCAAATTGAAAAAGCTACTTTAATACTGGAACTTTTATAATTTGCAGTCTTAACTTTCCAAGTTGACACTTAAAACAATCTTGACATTGAACATCATTTTATATTGCAACACTACACTTGACATGCAGTTTGCATTCATTCTTGGTAAATTGCACACTCAAGAAGTTTCAATTTGTTTGGACTTCAACTTGACATTGATGAAGTTCAATGAGCTTAACTGTTTACAGATCTAAACAGAGTTAGTCATTCTAGGAAAACTAAATTTCTTGAGCACTTTGTTAGTTCATCTCTGAATGTGAGTGAATTATTTACTTTACCTTAGAAGTACGTTTAAAAAATTCGTCACCTAAGAGATTTAAGAAACATGTAAGAAACTTTTGACAGCAAAATGGCAAGAAAATTTAAGAAACTGCCTACCAGCACCGGACCTTGGTTTCTTGCGAAAAAATGATTGTTTACGATTTCACGGACCAATTTAGTTAATCTAACTTTACACACCTCTTAAGGTGCTTAGTCAATTTAGACTAGGTCAGCAAAGCAATGTGGAACTTTTCAAACAGTATAAAGAAGCACATCTAGAAATGAAGCATCAGTGTATATACGTAATTTAGTTTATTATAAGCAAGTATACATATCTCTATCTTTACACACATTTTAAATAATAGTACGGAAAAAACAAAAACTTTGCATGTAGTTTGTCACACAGTAGTTTTCCTGAATGTATCACCAACTGGTTCCAATGTTTCCCTTTGCTTTATTTGGCACAGCAGTGGGCCCATTATCCACACAATTTCAAATTAGATACCCAAATAACAGATCCAAAATTAAGCCAACTTAGGCTTTGTCATGACCTGTAAAAGAAAATGAATGAAATTAACAGTAATCATTCAATTTCAATTTCACTTTATCGTCTAGACATATAGTACTTTCGAGTATTTAATACGTTACGAAAACTTGTATGACCCCACATTACATCAAACAGCAAATCATATGGGCAATGCTAAACAGTAAAAAGATAAAAACATACCCTTAATCGCACGGCTGCGGTGACTTTTATGCTTTCCATTGTGACGCTCATTTCTATGTCCTTGGTAACCAATGGCTGTGTTGTGCTGCCTCGTAGCGTCTCTCCATTGCCGATTGAAATGCGATGCATCCTCTGCAGACAATAAGAAAGAAAGTCGTAGAAAGAATTAATAAAGTCAAAGATCCAAAAGTCAATTAAATATTTCAGAAAAACAGAAAATCAAATCTTGAAACAGCCTTTTTACCAGCTACCTTGATTGACTTGCGATAGATTACCACTAAGCCAAATTAATAAATAATGGTTTTAGATTTTTACATAGACCAACTTTCACCTCCTTACATTTCTTTTGCATTGTCAAAATCGCACTCATTTTCAACCTTTTTATCACCCTACATTTCTGTTAGATCGGTAACACAAAATCTTATGAGAGCTCAAGTCTGCATATTTATCAAATCTCTCAATAACAATTGAATGATATCAAGCTCAAGAAATGCTTACAAATCTTAAGCTTAGAAATGCTTAGAAAACTAAGGCCTCCCTATGGCGAAATCTACAACAGCTGTGTTAATACCAGTTTTAGGGAAGCACTCATTGTCTGATATTTAAATCTTCTTACGGTTTTCAAGGCAGCAATGAAAATTTGAAAAAAATTGTTTGAACAATTTTTTGGCGGTAGGGAACTTGAAAATTGCTTTGAAAAAGCAAACATTTTACAACATACTAAAAGCTTTTCCGTCTGACAATAGGGATGGAAAATTTAATACCCAGTTGTGAAACGAAAGCACATGAATACTATTTTTCGAGTAGTATATTTGTCGAATCAGCTAAAAATGTTTGATGTAGTGAAATTGAGGAATGTGTTGTTTTAGCATATTTCCAAACCTTATCGACAAAGCAACAAAGATATATCAATTGATAAAAGTAAACAACAAACATTAAAGCAATCCAAAGAAAAACAAATCGTTAAACAAAAAGTTATACAAATTCAAAGCCCCGGTCAGACGAACTGGACATTTCACTGAGCAACGCACAAAATGCCCGCTTAGCGGAAAGTTAAGTTTGTTCGACCACTTGCTCAGCTCTGCTCAGCCCTTCTCAGTTCTCAGTCCTGCTCAGTTCTCAGTCCTGCTCAGCGATGTTTCATGGTGATCAAAAATGTTAAGAGGTTTATTTTGTTCGAGGTGTTGTTGAGCGATGCTCCGTTCGTTTGACCACCCAAATCAACTTTGCTCAATTCACGCATGCCTTACTTACTCGCCTAGTGCATTCAAGTTTCGCGCCAAGAATACCTTGAGAGTTTTTTTACATTGCGCTCACTAAAACCATTTAATTGCATCATGAAGCTTGCCATTTAGACAACAATAAAGAAGGCTTTTGATTTGAAATGTTTTGGCTTGAAATTTCTCATTACAGAGACACTCGCATTAATCATTGTTCGTTCAAAGAGATCATCCATCATAAAGTGACTATCTTTTTCTTATTTCAAATGAATTTTACAGTAAGCTAGCAAAATAATCAAGAAACTTCTCAATAAATAGAAATTGAAAATCTTATAATCGTAGTAAAAACACCTTTTCCCAAGCTACTAACCTTCATCCATATTCACAAAATTCCGCACCTCTTCCTCTTCGCCCGTCCTCCTGTTTCTTGACCGTTGGTACTCGTGTCCTCTATCACCTATCATCAGATCAGAATGAGAAATACATTTCAAATTCAAAATAACATTTAGCTAGCAAAAGCTTAGCTAGAAGTATTTCAAAATCAGAGGGCCTAGACAGGAGTCCTCGCTGTGGGTGTGAAGTGAGCATACTATAGATGTGGAAAGGTTATTTTATTTTTTCTTGCAGTAGAAAGGGTTTTACAGTTGCCACAACATGCTCACTCTTGGCTGAAAAAGTTTATTTATTTAAATGAAAATTAAAAGGGTAATAAAAATTTTAAAAAGTTTAAAGAACTTACCAATATGCTGCCCAAGGGCCATTTTTTCTACACCAGACTGAGAATCTCGAACAGACTTTTGTGTTTCCCTAACCTTGGAAATTGAAATAAACAGTATAGTTTAGTCGAAAGCATGATCATTCAAAGATCGATAGTAAAAGAAACATGAAATATCTCACCATAAATGGACAAACGAATGATATACCAGTCATCCAGCATTAAATAAATCACGGGTTAAGTTAGGCATCATGACCTATTGCCAGGGGCGGACTGGCTGGTCGGGCTATTCGGGTGATCGCCCGAAGGGCCGGTCGGTTTAAGGGCCGGTTGATAAAAGTGCAAAAAAATAAATTAGCTTAAAGAGTGAATGCGAGGCAAAAAAGTATACCCACGCGTTAATCTGTTTGCCTTGAATTTTCAGAGACTTTGTGGGAAAGAATAAATATACACACTTCTTCAGGGAACATGTTATTGACATTTTGTTATATTTTCTCTTGACGGTATTTCCTTTTTGGCGACATATTATACTGTAACATCCCTGTTTCAATGCGATACATAAAGCCCCGGCAAAACGACTGGACATTTGCACTGGTCACACACTGGACATCGCTCACTTGTTCAGAGTATGGAGATCAAGAAAATATTGGTTATGGCAAAACGACTGAACATTGTCCAGTGAACTTTTTCCCTGTTGAAGAATGCGGGTGGGAAAACTGGCAACAGGGCATCTCTTTACCTTTGAAAATACACTTTTCATGGCCCTAACCGTGTTATCGTATGAATTAGAGTGTATTATTGAAAAGTGGCTAGGACTGCTAGGTTCATCAAAATTACCTTCCTCGTGCTCTCTGACATCGCTTTCCTTATCGGAACTAAAGCTAATCTGATCAGAAGATTCATCGTTACTAATGAAATGCCTTTTTCTGCTATTGGTCGAATTGAATTTTCACGTTGTTTCACATCCACTTTAAATATATAAAGAACAGATTACGTGGAAATTTTTCGCAGCCAAACCTGGAGTTCTTAGAAAACACCTGTTAGATGACATCTAGAACGATCGCATTATCAACATATAAGTTACTGTATTTAGAAAGAAAGTCAAACCAATGAGTTAAAATTTTTTTTTTTTTACTATTTAGTCAGCAAATGACTTATTCAACATGTTTTGTTAACCAGCATTCATCCATGCACAAAATTACTGAATTTAAAAACTTGTTTTCCTTACAGACTAACATTTACTTGCATTTTCCGAGGAGTTTTTTATTTGCTATTTTTGTGGGCCGGTTTGATCAAAATTTGCCCGGGCCAAAAAAATTAGCCAGTCCGCCCCTGCCTATTGCTAAATTACTTCTATCTTGAATGACAAACATTTTGTCATCGAGTCGACAGATTGCCAGGGGGAATTTAAATTAACCAAACATTGAATTGCATGGATAGTCTATGTCATGAAAGCGGTGAATGATCTTGCTGTAATGCAACATCCAAAGACTTTTAACCCCCCCCCCCCAAACAACTCAGCCATTTAGCTTTTCGCCAGTTTGTTCTTGCTGCACAGTTGCATAATTGCATAATGCTTTACTTGGCTTTCATTTTAGCAAAAGGTAACACTTGCCATTATATTTACACTGGTTCAACTTCAGGAATTATCCATCGAAAGCACAAATCTTACTCACCCCTCCAGGGCCTCGACGTTCTGCTGAAGAAGCTTGGTAGTACTGGGGTTCACCCCTTCCATCATTACTATATGTCATCACAGATGAGGAAGAATATGAGTATGAATTTGGATCACTTGCCATCATCTCCTGAAATGGTTATTATAATAATAATAGTTTAAGCTTTTAAACAACAACATAAAGAGATAACAGAGCAGCCTATGCAACAAAAAGAAAATTTATCGCTTAAACAATGAACTTCAGAACTTCAAATTCTTAAAAAATGAACTTCAGAAAATAACAAGAAGTTTTCATAGCCATTTATATATTATTCAATGATAAAAACAACAACAGAATACTGCTTATGACCTATCGAAAGATCAGTACTTAGGCAAATTAATGGGATATTTATTGTCTGATCAGAGATACTCAAGAGAAAAAAATAATATATTCCGAGAAACGAAAGTAAAATATTTAAAATCTTACAATATTATTTCTTACAGTATTCAAGAAAAGTAACGACACAGGCTGGCAAAATGGAGTTGCATTGTTACCTGCAGTTTGTAACAGTGTAAGTTCATGTCAATCAAGGGAATGCTACTGCACTTTCAGACTAGCATTCTCCCAGGCAACCCTTTTGATAAATGCGAGTTTGGGTGCCCCTTGCTCAAGTGGCAATGGAATATCCAGGATGCAAAAAAATAATTAAAATATCTTTGTAATCACATAGATGGGACATAAATCAAGGTCTTAGCAAATCTGTTTCAACCTAAACAAAACTTTTAAAAGACATACCATATTACTGTGCATGTTCCTGAACATTGAATCCATCTGTGAGAACATATTCATTGGGTCCATCATGCCACCCATTAAGTGAGAGTGGGGCATTAAATCTTGCGTCTGTCTCTGGGGATGTCTCTGGGGATGTCTTTGGTGCCCACCCTCTCTGCCTCTAAATTCATCTGGAGCATTAAGGGCTCTGTGACCCATGCCAAATGGATCACCAAAATCCCTCATCATATTATTCATCATGCTTCTGTGATTACTGCAAATGAAAATTTTCTCAATTTTATTTAGAACTCACACAAATCTTGATTTTGTGAATATACATTTCAATCAGTTTCTTGATGTTCACTAAATGCACGAGGGCAGTCTATATCTAATATGGGTGTTTGATGATGTTCTATGATATCAGCTCTGCATGAAAAGGCAGTATTAGCTAGAAGTTTATCCACAGAGTTTTTAGAATATTGCTTTTGGTTTTCATACAGCACTGTGTTGTAATTCATATAGCACTCCAAAATACACATGAATAACTCAATGTGCATGATTTGCAATATGCCTATCTATATTTTCTTACACAGTTGAAACACTGTACATAACATAGTTGTAAACTTAAAATTTATATCTTAACCTTTCTGTAATGAACACAAGTAGCCATTTACAGAAAAGCACTGTTCTCGATTAAATAGATATTGCCCATGACATTTTCCAATTTCTTTTCATCCCAATGGGTTTTACAGAATTTATGGACAAACCCAAACTCCTTTAGATAAACCTCTGTGAATTTAACTTGTCTCTAATTTTCAACCTTCTTAGAATCTGAGAACTTTACAAAAAATATTTCAATATCAAATATTGCTTTGTTAAGTGTTTATGATGATGTAATTTTAATATCTAGCAACTTTCTTTTCTAAAGGCTTTACATTCATGTAAGACGTGGTTACTATAACGGGAGATGAGTAGAAACGACTAGGAAACGAGAAAAAAAAGTAGAAACGACTAGGAAACAAGTAAGAAACAACTAGGAAACAAGTAGAGACAAGTAGAAACGACTTGGAAAAATTTTAACTGCGGCACAATTTTATCTATTTAGTGGAAATCCTGCATTAATAGCTATGATAGTAGATGTTGATATGGTATTTTTGTAAGAGGAATTAAACTATGAAAGCCTGATATAAAGTGCCAGCATTGTAAGAGCAAATCTCACTGGCATTGGGATTAACATGGAACAACTACCGGGATGGTCAAAATAAAGCAATTCAAATTCTCGGCTAATAATCAAGCTATTTTCCCCCCTGAATTCAACTGCTTTTAGGAACTTACTGAAACTTTATAGAGGCTTTAAGGTTAGGCTCCCAAACAAAACATTGTTCAAGAAGTAGATTGTCAACCTATGTAGCCTATTCCTCTAGTATATTGAAGTTTGTTCTTTAGTTTCTGTTGCTTTTGCTAAAATTAGCGTTGTAGAAACATAAGTAAGCATTATCACTGGGTTTCCGTAACCTCATCTAAGACAAAAGTTATTGAGGGGGATAACGACATGACCGAACACTTAGGTCACTGCATCGAAGATGACAATGCCCACGTGGATGGATAAGCTTGCCTTGTTTTGGAGATCTAGTCGTTTCTGCAAAGTCACAAATCGTTTCATGTTGTTTCCTTATCGTTTGTTTTCGTTTCTTGTTGTTTCTTGTTGTTTCCTGTTGTTTCCTGTTATAGTAAACATGTCATGTAAGAAACTCTAGGGCCAGACTTTTGGCTTAAACAAACCCTTTACTGGACTCAACTCATATTGAACTCATATTCCTACAAGTTTTCATTCACTGGGAGGTAGTTGTGCTTCCAACAGTTGCTTTGCTGTTGTCATAAATTATGCATCAATCAATCTTTTCAGGTTGATGCAGAACATGTATAACAAATGACTGGTTTTCAACTGTTTTGCAATCATGCATCTACGGCTACATATGGAGAGTGTTTTGCTTGTTCTGGTGTTTTCAGTGTATTTATATTTTCTTACGCACTCTACAAGTAACCTGTGGAAATACAATGGCAGAGCCATGTTTAACAATGGTTTTACCATGGTCATGGCCACTGAAATGACCATGGCATAACCACAGTACACCATCAATGTTAAATGAAACCTATTGCCCAAAACCATGGTCTTATCACTGAAAAAATTGAAGATATTAATCATAACCTTGCAATTATGGTCTTAGAATATGGACATAGAACTAAGATTTTTAATGGTGGGGCCAGGTCAAAATTTTGTTCTTACAACATTTGAACCATGTTCTCACCATAAATGAACCATGGTTGATAAAAACCATGGCATACCATGATTGGACCAGTTCCTTCTATTTCTTTTACATTTCAAATTCCAGTTCCTCATGTGTGTGAACCTTTTAGTCTTATTAATCAATTTGATCAATAATTAATTTCAGCCTGGCAGTGGAATTTTGATTCAACAAAATGGTTCAACAGCTGCCTGCTAACCATGAGATACCATGGTATACCATGATATACCATGGTTCGACCATTTCCCTTTGGTCTTAATTAATTCCTTCAACAAGGGGATTCAAGCTAAATTAATTACAATAAATCAAGATGATGTGTATCATTTAAGGGTGCAGTTACAGAATACCTGACATTGCAAAATTATGATTCGACAATGGCCAAGTGACAAAGGTATAACATGGTTCAGCCATGGTCCAATGACCATGGTATACCATTGCTCAACCATTTCTTACATCAAAAACTTTGGACCGAAGGTTTTGGGAAAACAACTTTACACAAAAGATTTTCTGAAATTGTTTATATCTACATAAATAACTATCAGTCGAACTGTTATTTTATGATAAATAATCTTGTGCAACTCAAAATATTTTGTAGGGGTACCTAGTTAGTTTAGCAGCTGATAGAATAAAACAATGTTCGTACGTACTTTTGAACCCCTTGCTAATTTCACTTTTAAACCTTTAACCAGTGATAATCTGCACTGCATGTTGTGTAATCATTCGTGTTTAAGACCATTTGCTTGGCTTTATTTCAAAAAATCCAATAAGAACAAATTTCCAACAAAATAACAAAAGAACGGAAGAATTTTTAATTTAATCTTCCTTTCAAGGTGGCTTTTAGGACGACAAAGTGAAACAGCTGTTGCTGATCCAAAAAAATTCAAACACGAACATTTTTTTCAAAAAAAATCTACCAGAAAAAAGGCCTAAATAAATCAAAAAATAAAGTGAATCGGCGAAGTAGCCTAGCTAGTGGGCTTTGGTGTTTACCGTCCAAATACGTATTTTTAACATGTACATAAAGCTATGTTGTACTATAATACATACCTGAAGAAAGGGTCTTCGTCAAACATGCCGTGAAAATCTCTCCCAAACATAACTCACAAACTTTAAAAACCTGTTTCGAAAACTAATCAAACGGCAGAGTGAAATAATTTATGATCGTCAGTCGAGCACAGTCCAACAAGCCAGATATTTCTCGATAAAATCGACCTCTCTTTCAGACAGGCCTCTTTCGCATTAGAAAATAAAGCTCGAAAATTCTAAATTTTCCCTGTTTTTCAGTGGCCCCGGCGGGTCCACTCTTATTGTCAAGTTATCTCTGAAAAAGGGGTTCAATTTTGTCATATATCTAGGACAAATAGAATAGAAAAAAGGGTGTATGATTTGGGAATTGTAATATATATTCTAGTTTTTATCTTTTTGGCTTTATTTCAACTAAAACTACTTATTTCAGGGAAAAGGGTATAAATTTTCTTCGGTTTCAAAGAAAAGGGGAATAAAATTGGAATCAAATATCACATTGAATATCAAATTGGAATCAAATATCAAATATAAGAGTCAGTTTGATTTCGATTTGATTTGATTTTGACTAAACAAGAAAGTTTGCAAAGCTCATTGACTTTCGAATAGTTTTTAGAAGATAATTTTTCAAATATTTTTTGAATAAGAATTTAGAAGAGGTAGCTCTTATTTCTACAGGCAGATTGTTCCTTAATTTAACCCCCATATATCCAGTTAATTTCAAGCCGTATTGTGAAATATTTGTCATAGTCAGGAAGAGATCACAAAGTGTTGATTGCCTTGTGCCGTGACAATGAGTAGATGTATTAGGAAAAAATGAGTTATAGAAATACAATGCCTGCCAAAAGTACTTGGAACACCCAGCAATTTACGCTGCATTTGATATCTTTCATTCCTTTCATGAAAAAAAATTGCTACTTCCGCCCCTTCCCCCTAAAACAATGTTGATGATTTAGAGAAATATCATAAAAGAAGCGCAAAAGAAAGTGCTTCCTAAAATCCTAAC